GAGAGATAGAAGAGAGAGAGAGAGAGAGAGAGAGAGAGAGAGAGAGAGAGAGAAAGAGAGAGAAGAAAAGAAAGAAAGAGAAAGAAAGAAAGGAGAGAGAGCAAGAAAAAATGAAAAAAAAGAACATCAAAAACAGCAAAACAATAAAAACAAAAAAACAAACCGAATTTCCGCGTCTGTCTGTTTGCATCCGCCTGGTAGTCGAGTAGGACCTTGACAATATCCCCGTGGTTCTTACGTGCCGCCGAGATGAGGGGGGTGGAACCTGGGGGGAGGGGGGAGGTTCTGTTAGTATCGATGTTCAATTATCTATTGTCGGAGAGTAGATAAAAAGATAGAGAGTAAAAGTAAAAAATAATATAGTAAGATAAGATAGTAAAAGATAGAGAGTAGAAGTAGAATAGGTGCAGTGATAAATGGCTGGTAAGAAAGGTGAGAAGAAAGATGAATAAATGTGTATATATATGTAAACGTAAATACACACACACACACACACACACACACACACACACACACACACACACACACACACACACACACACACACACACACACACACACACACACACACACGCCCACAAACACACACACACACACAAACACACACACCCCCCCCACACACACACACTATCTTCTTATTTACCAAATATTTATTCGATTTTCGTCCTTATAGCCATTTACCTGCTACGTTCTGCTGGTCGACCTCAGCTCCTCCTTCAAGTAGTATCCGGACCACTTGTGGGTGGTTCATGTCCGAAGCCAGAATCAGGGGGGTGATTCCTGTAAGATGAAGAAGGAAAACGTAAATAAAAAAGTATTAGTTAATTATAATATTGATGATAATGATAGTGATCATGATGGTATAAGTTACTTATAGCGACGCGCGTAGATTGAGGGAAATGGACAACGCCATTTTATAGAGCGGAAAAAATAGATGGGGTTAGAATAGAGTTTAATATGCATTGGCATTATATTTACCGAAAAATGGAAAACGAAGACGAAGTCCACAAAACCTATGAATGTTACGTTTTCTGACCGCCACTTTCAACCAGTGTGGAATCATTTCCGATTACTAATATTTTAATATATTATCTATTCATATTTCTACTACCATTTCCTCTATTATTTTAATGCTTATGCATTAAAAATCTTATTTTATATCGTAAGTATATTATGAAGTATAATTTCGTTATGATAACTTTGATTACCTGTTAACAATCTAACAATGGGACTGCCACCTTACATTGTTTGCCTCCCATGTTGGAACAAAACACAAGGTCAATTACATGCACACTCGCACTCGTGTATGAGCTTTTGTATGGTTCACACCTTCCACCCCTCGTGTATGAGACATTGGATGACTCAGACCACCTTTCTAAACGCAGTAGCAACAGAGTTAAAATCGTGTGCCACTTGAGCTACCCTGGTTTCCGGGGCCTCTCGTCTCGCTCGGCACTGTTGTTCCTGAGTTCTCTTAACGTAACTTGTAAAGTAATTCTGAACGTGGAAATTCAATCAGTTTTATTGGCATCTTTCTCAATTTTATATGATGGTGATAAAGATAATGAAATAATAACAATCGTTTCAAGGATTATAACATAATAATAAAGATAATAATTATGAAACTGATAAGAATGAGAATATAAGAACAAGAATGATAAGAATAAGAAGAGGTATGATAAAAACAAGAATAATGATAACAAAGATGATAACAACAATAACGAAAATAGTGACATTCATAATGATAACAAAAATATAAGTGTAACGATAATAGTCATGATAATGATTATATTAATAACAATAATAACCATGACGATAATAATGATGATAATTAACGATGATTATAGTAATGAGGATAATGATAATGGCGATAGTAATCATGACAATAATAATGATAATATTGATCCTACTAATAATGATGATATTAACAAAAATGATGATAATAATAATGATGATAATAATGATGATGATAATAACAATAATAATGATAATGATAACGATAATAGAAAGATAATAATGAAAATGATAACAGTGATGATAATGCTGATAATAATAATGATAATGAGAATGATTACCATTACTTTTATCATTATCATGATTATCATTATTTTTGTTGCAATTATTATCATTATCATTATTATTATTGTTACTATTTTTACTATTATTATCATTGGTTATTCTTATTCTTCTCACTATCATTATCATCATTATCATTTTCATTATTATTATTATTATCACAATTATCAATATTATTTTAATCATTATCATTATTTTGATAACCATCACTATCATCATCACTATCCCTATCATTATTGTTGTTACTATTATTATTATCAGTATCATTATTATCAGTATTATTATCGTCTGTTATCATCATTATCGTTTTCCTAACCAGTGCTGTTATTACGATTTGTAATTAATATCATCATTATCAACAAATTAACATATTCCGATCAAATGCAAGAGAGAGAAATAAAGTTGATGAAACCAACCAATCATGTATTTTGAATCATAAGTCATTAGTTCCATTAAGTGTTAATAAGAAATAATTAAGCAAACAGTGAAATATTAATGATAGCTAAAGTAATATAGTGATTGCAAGTATCGATGGAATAATAGAGATTACACTTGTCACGGTGACTATACGAGTAATTAAATAAACCTATTCTAAAAAATAATAATAATAAATAGAAAATATATAAATAAATAAATAAAAAATAGATAAATAAATAAATAAATCATATCACATATCGTAATATAAACAAGTAGTTCCATTACGTTACAGTAAAGAGATGGAGAACAAACACACCAACACGTGAGCGAGGATCTGTAAACCCGCCCATCCCATTTTATGACTGTGGCTGCGCTGCACCTCATAGCAAGAAGTCGTAAGTGGTTTCATTAAAGGCACCAGCTTGTTTTCTTGTCTTAGAAGGTTAAGAAGCGGGGTTGGCTGGTCAAGTTCCGGGGGTTGGCTGCTTTCTCTCTTCTTTTCTCTCTTTCTTTCTTTCTCTTTGTTCTTTCCGTCTCTTTGTCTTTGTTTTTAGCTTTGTCTTTGTCTCTGTCTTTGTCTCTGTCTTTGTCTTTGTCTTTGTCTTTGTCTTTGTCTCTGTCTCTATCTGTCTGTCTGTCTGTCTGTCTGTCTGTCTGTCTGTCTGTCTGTCTGTCTGTCTGTCTGTCTGTCTCTCTCTCTCGCTCTCTCTCTCTCTCTCTCTCTCTCTCTCTCTCTCTCTCTCTCTCTCTCTCTCTCTCTCACTCTCTCTCTCTCTCTCTCTCTCTCTCTCCTCCTCTCTCTCTCTCTCTCTCTCTCTCTCTCTCTCTCTCTCTCCTCTCTCTCTCCAAAGTTCATGTTTCTTATTCTTTTTATTCTTTCCACTTGCTTTCCATGTCGTTCTCCTTCTCTTTCTTTATGTCTTTAGTCTTTACATTTCTACCATTTTACTGTTGCTCTATTTTCTTTCTTTCACCCGTTTTCTTTCCCTTTTTCCAATTTTCCCAGTCATATTCTTTTCTCCCAATCTATCCTTGGTTGATTTTGTTTTTTCTCTCGTTTTCAATTCGTCAATTCTTCTTGTTTTGTTCTTTCTTTTCTTTTCAGATTGCAAGGTCGAGGTCTCAGTGAAGGTCTGTTATCGTTGTTGCTTTTTCTTGAAGCAGTTTTCATTATTTCTGCTTTTGTTGTTGTTAATGCTGCTTTTGCTGTGAAGTATTCAACTTTCACTTATACGTATATGTGGGTATATTTGTATCCATTTTTATTTTTTGTGTATTTTACGATATATATATGTATATATATATATATATATATATATATATATATATATATATATATATATATATATATATATATATATATATATATATATATATATATATATATATATATATATATATATATATATATATATATATATATATATATATATATATATGTATATAATATACATACATATTCATATGTATGTACATATACATGGGATACTCGCGTGCGCATGCATACACAAACATATAAATCAACCGATCCTTATGAAGTTGAGCCCACACAACTCCCTCCCCCCCTCCGCCTCCCCTCCCTCCCCATTACCCTACCCTTTCCTCCCTGCCTCTCTACCGTCTCCCTTCCCCTCTCTCCTTCCTACCCCTTCCCTCTCCCTCTCCTCGTCTCCCTCTTCCCCTCTCCCTCCGTCTCCATCTCTCCCTCCCCTCCCTACCCTCCCTATCCCTCTCCCCTCCCTCCCTTCTCCACTCTCCCCTCTCGCCTCCTTCCCGTCCCTCTCCCTCCCTCTCCCTACCGTCTCCCTCCCCCTCCTCCCTTAAACCCCTCCCCACTGTCCTCCTCCCCCTCCCTCTCCTTCCCCTTCCTACCCCTCTCCCTACCGTCTCCCTCCCCCTCCTCCCTTAAACCCCTCTCCCCTCTCCTTTCCTTCCCCTCCCCCTTCCCCCCTCCTCTCCCCCTCCCTCCCCCTCCCCCCCACACCTCCTCCGCAGCCAAAAGGAGTTTCGCGTTTTAATTAATAACTTCAGGAAGACCGACAGCTGGTTACAATTAGCTGTCAAGACGATTAGATACGTGGCCTCTCGGACTCATCTGCTGTTCGAGCGCGTCCTTCAGGTGTCTCGACGAGGGGCTTCGAGTCCGCCGCCAGGTCTATGTTGATTAGCTTTTTTTTTTTTTTTTTTTTTTTTTTTTTTTTTTTTTTTTTTGAGGGTGGGGGAGGTATGGTTGGTGGGGTGGGGTGAGGGGGGGAGGTATGGTGTATGGGGATGTAGGGTGAGGTGTTCCTTGACCTCTCTGGTTCTCTTTGTCTGCTTTTCTTTTTCTTTCTTTCTTTCTCTGTCTGTCTGTCTGTCTCTGTATCTCTCTCTCTGTTTTTTTTTTTCTGTCTGTCTGTCTGTCCCTTCTCTCTCTCTCTCTCTCTCTCTCTCTCTCTCTCTCTCTCTCTCTCTCTCTCTCTCTCTCTCTCTCTGTGTGTGTGTGTATGTGTGTGTGTGTGTGTGTGTGTGTGTTTTCTCTCTGTCTGCCTTTCTATATCTTTCTATTTTTCTGTCTGTCCTTCTTTTTCTTTCTGTTTCTCTGTCCGCCTTTCTTTCTCTTTCTGTTTCTCGGTCTGTCTGTCTGTCTGTCAGTAACTGTCTCTCTCGTGTGCGTTTCTTGCCCTTGATGCTGTTTGTTAAGATAATTACCTTGCTTTCTATGAATATCTTTAAGTATAATTTAGAGTATTAAAAACTATTACTAAAATGTTGAGAGATACACAGTGGAAGAGAGAGAGAGAGAGAGAAAGAAAGAGAGAGAGAGAGAGAGAGAGAGAGAGAGAGAGAGATATAGAGAGAGACAGAGACAGAGACAGAGACAGACAGACAGAAAGAGAGAGAGAAAGACAGACAGACAGAAAGAGAGAGAGAAATTCCGACAGACAGACAAAGAAATAAAGAAAAAGAGAAAGAGAGAGAGGAGAAAGTGACGAACGTGAGAAGAGGCCACGGGTAGGCGTTGAGATATAACAAGGATAAAGTGGGATCTTAAAAAGAAACTTTATATCGTATAACAAGGAAAGGAGCAGTTATGGCGAGCTGTGTGGCGTTCTCCAGAACTTGTTCGTTTAATGAGGTGCCAGTCAAATACATTGCTTCATGCGAGAACGATGAGGAATTGGGAGAGATGGAGAGAGAGAGAGAGAGAGAGGAAGAGAGAGAATGAGAGGGGGAGAAAAGGAGAGGGGGGAGGGAGGGAGAGAAGGAGGGAGGGAGAGAGGGAGATGGGGGGGAGTGAGAGAGAGAGAGTGGGAGGAGAGAAGAGAGAGAGAGAGAGAGAGAGAGAGAGAGATTGAGACAGATATTGAGACAGAGAGAGAGAGAAGAGAATTAGAGAGTAAAAGGGATAGAGAGGAAGAAAGAGCAAAGAAAAGAAAAGAAAGCACACAAAGAGAAACCCTAACCCCCCACCCACCCCCACCCCCTACACCCATCCCAAACGACAGCTTAACT